TTTTTTTTCCACTAAACTTTATTGCTATCACATACGGGGGCTAATAAAACTCCCCTATGTGATAGCAAAATATGTGACAGGTCCTCTTTATGGAGACATCAGGTGTCTCCAAGACCCCTAATGTCACCTAGGACCCCCCAAAAGAAGCTGATGAAGCACAGATCTGCTCCATCAGCTTCTTTCCAGCTTCTGAAGCTGGAGAGTGACACAAGAATGCGGTGCGGAAGTGATGTATTATACAACACTTCCGCATTCTTGCAGAGGAGAGGGGACCGGAGGAAGCTCGTGTAACGAACTCCCTCTGATCCCCTGTGACACAGGCGACATGCTGATCCCAGGCTCGCCCCGGGATCAGCGGGACAACTGCGGAGGCGACCGCGGAGGGGACACACACACACACCGATTGGCACACCATACACGCGGTCCGCGGGCTCTACAGCCGCCGGATCGCTTGTATGGCAACAGGCATCGCTGCCTGTTTTTAAATAACGGCCGTGTGCGAGGGGGCGTGTCTGAGTGGACGTCTAAAGACGCCCGCTCAGATCTAGAGACCTCTCGGCCGGCTGTTTTTTTACAACGGCCGGCCCTGAGGTGGTTAAAAAAATAAAATATTTGAAAAAATTATTTTCGGTTTCGGCCTGACATTTTTATTATTTGCAGTTTGGTTGAAAATTTTCATTTCGGTGCACCTCTAGTTTTCAGCACTGATAGTTTGACTGAAAATTACTCCGTCATAGGACTGTTTACCCAAGTTAATTTAATATCATTTTATGGGGCAAATAGAGATTTCTTTTGGCATTTAATAACCACTGTTGTTTTTTTGTTTTTTAATATTATATAAAAGTGTATATTATTTACTTCATATATTTTGCCTTCACAATTCCTGGAAAGAGTCATATTTAACATACTCCCATGGAAAAATGAATCCCTTCACCTATTATAAAGGTATTTCCACCTGCAAAAAAATCATTACTACATCATTACAAGAATACAATCCAACATCGGGTTCCCTTCCTCCTTCAAAACTCACCATACCGGTTGTTTGTACTGCTTTTGGGCTTTGCTAAATCCCTCACACAGTGTCAGGTCGCATATGAACCAACACATTTTCTTTTAACTTTTGGATAGAATTGAGAACAATTGGAGCCCCTTTTGGGGTTTGTACTGCTATCAGATGCTTCAACAGAGAGATTTCCCCCAATAATGTTGTCAAACTTGCGATTTTGCAACATTCAGGAATTTGCCAGTGGCAGTATCACTATGGAGGACACAACAAGGAGGTGATAACACTCACATGTGTCACTCTCATGGTAGCCAGATTATGGACACGCTGTCCTCCCACTGGGAACGTAAATTCTGCAGGGTTTCTGACAGCCATGGAGTGACGCCTGGCTGATTAGGCTTTCAGGGGAGTGACACATACAAGCTAGTATTCTCCTTGTACATTATAGTGATCTTGTTCCCTTCAAGTTCCCGCCAATAACAGGATCGGTAGTATGATATCAGCCTTATTCTGGGTATACACGGTTAGAATTTCCTACGGTTATATAAAAAAAAATCTCATCAGAACATTCAATAATGCCATCAGAGACTTGACTATTGCGGTTTGAAATCTCATTTGATTTTAACATTCTATTTTGGAATGAATGGGGTTTCTTGAACATAAAACACATTCACCATTTCCCCCATTCACATTCTTTTGAATCACCACAGATGAGATCGATTGTCTATTTGACCCCATAAACTATTAGAAACCTAAACGAACTTTTCAGAAATGTTTTTTTTTTAAACAAAATTCTAACCCTGTATACTGGGCTTTACTGTGACAATGTGACAATGTGACAAGCTTGCAATGGCAATACAGAAAGAAATATTTTTCAGTAGAGTGGGGGAAGGCTAGGACTTGGTCAGCGTTTGACTGTGGTTCGTGTCCTTGATGCAGATTTTCCCTAACTTCCTGTCTCGAGAAACCCATGTCACCATGACAAAAGGGTGAGGGAAATGCTTAGGCTGGGTTCACACCTAGGCGTATCGAATATGCGCGTTTGTCGCGCGTTTTACTGTGATTCGCGGTAAAAAAAAAAAAACACGCGTTTCCGAGGGCTACTTGGCTGTATCCCAATGGAAACGCGCAACAAAAACGCCCCAAAGAAGCTCCTGTACTTCTTTGGGTGTAGAGCGTTTTGTAGCGCATTCATACGGCCTGTAATACACCCAGGTGTGAACCATACCCATAGGAAATAATGGGATTTCGGTGTTTAAGCGTTTTGCAGAGCGTTCGAACGCGCTACAAAACGCCCAGGTGTGAACCAGGCCTTAGTCACAGACAGCAGTTAAAAACCCAACAGGTTTTAATCCTTCCTCACACTTTCCAAAACAAAGTCACCAACTCTCCTGCTGATGACATCTGCTGGAAGAGCAGGAGAGACAGTGTGCAGATGCAACAGATCGGTTATAAAGATCCCTGCAGCTGAGAAAGGTAAAGGCAACATCATAGGCGCATAAAGGCAATATAAAAGCTTGTCTTACCTCCAGACATCTGTCTTGCCACCTCCGTGCCAGCATTTCGAGAAGTGGTGGTCTAAACTTGTCCAGGCCCAGGAGATCAGGCAGCATTACACAATGCATGGCAGCTAACTGGCTCCATCCTGCAGTAAGCACAAAGAACACTAGAATTAGAATGTCTGTCTAGTCTTAAAGTATATCTAAATCCAAAACTTGTTGGTCTTAGACTGCCAAGAAAAGTTTATCAACCCTGTCTTTTCTTCTGCTGGGTCCCCGGTGCGTAGATTCACCCTCACTATTTGCCCTAGTGACCACTGTAACCATAACAACGTGAGTTAAAATCCCCAATTTTCTTTCTCAAATTAATGTTTGAGGTTTTTCGAAAAGTATACATGGATATAAGGCAATACCTATGACAATAACAGACCATCAAAGCATATTGTCTGCACGAGTGCAAGTGCGGACAAGGCTGGAAATGAGTTCTGCCCAGGATTGCATCTTTCTTCCTCTCTAGCCAAAGGAAGATTTCATGTTCCTCCATACTGGCTGATGTATGTCACTGCTATTGCACTGTTCAACTGAATATGGATTAGATAAGCCTCCAGTGGAGATTTCCAGAGCTGAAGGGGCAACCAAATCCCTCAAAGCTCTAGAACACTGAACGAGAGGCAAGATTACTCTGATGGCTAAATCTATTGCACAGAGGAGTGTTAACAACTCCTCCCCAGCCCTCCATCTGGCATGCACGGTGAGGACTTTCCAAGACAACGGGAGGAAGAATTTCACCAACTCCAGAGCTGGATTCCTCAACTATCAAGCCAGAGATAACCTGTTCTTCGATGTCAGTCAAGTTGTCATATCTAAAGTTTGACTTGATTTGTCCCAGAATGACAGAATGTTGTGTGGTAGGGTCTGGAGTGGTACTGAGAAAATGGAAGGATGCTACCATCAAAGACAGAACTCTTATGCAAAACCACAGAATTTGCTAGCTCCTGGGCTGTAGAGTTTGAGTCTTACAGGTCACTGCAGGTGGCAGCAACAACTAACTGAGGTGAAAAACATTGTGTCTATTGCAAATAGCAGCAATTTCTGGAAGATGCTACCTCATGCTGAAAAGGTGGGCAAGAGGGTAAAGTCCAGGTAGGCCAAGCAATGTTTGGTCCAGCGGGTTCCTGGTTCAGCCTCCAAAGCAGCCCAGCTCAGTAGCATACAGATAAAGTTTTGATTATAGGAAAAATTATCTTGAGAAAAAAATAAAATGTCTAATAAAAACAGATGAACTTTTGTCAGTAGAGAAGACATCGATTCTCCTATGGCACTAGCAAAAAAAACCGAAGCATTCTGGGAGTGGGAGGGGTTATACATGGCTGGCCAAAGGCTCTGTTTGCTAATGTCCAAATCCTTGTGTAGACAGCATTATAACCTAAACAACTGAATCCTGTGACCCTTATTGAATGGGTAAGGAAAAATGCTGCAAGGCCTACAAAAGATCAAGGCCCTTTATAAGCTGTAGCACAGCCAAGTTAGTGATACTTAGGTTATGGTTTGTGGTAAATTTAAATGCAAACAGTGCACTAAGCTGAAAATGCCCCCTATTAAATTCCCTTTGTGGTGTTGTACTGCACATGTAAAAGGGAATATTAAATTCAGCCCTCCTGGGCAACAGTCAGCAATACCGTGAAATATCCAATGAAAACATGTAAGGTGAGGTTACCAAGCACTCAATAAATAAAGAACACATCATACATATTATTATTCAGTCTACACAAAGCTAGCAAACCCCACAACTCAGTGATATGGTAAGAAATGAGAGAGCAAGCCTCCCTTAAATGCCACTTCCTATGGGATAGAGTATGGAATCTATACCTCGTCATGGTGTAAAGACTATAGAACAGCATTTCATGTGAAATCAATGGATCCCTCCGCTTGAGGTTTTATGGCAGCCATTGCCGGCATCAGTAGTGTTTTCCCATGATACAAAAAACATGGATCATAGCTTGCGTAGAGGATGGATTCTCAGCCTTTGATCCAGGAACATCGCACAGGATGAGCAAAGCAGTCTTCAGATATGTCCTGCTTGTGCTTAGTATGGGGAGCTGCCCACACAGCAAAATCTATATCGTCTCTGCGGGTATCCCTAACCTATGTTTCAAAAAGTACATTGGATAAACAGAGATAGCGAAGGGTCAACAAAAGCTCTTAATTGATTCAGGAGAATCTAATTAAGTACTTAAAGTGCAACTCCTGCTTCCTTAGAAAAAGTAGGAAGGGAAAAAAGCACACAGCTAAGGACTATGTATAATTAGTTGTGGGTGTTACTTAGTAAAATATAAATACTTTTTCCTTAAAACTGAACTCTAGGCAAAGCGCTAAATACATTGAAGAAACACATATATGAGAGCCTGCATTTCTGCCCATCCAGTCATAAGGGTTGCACTGCCTAGTCAAACAGAACAGTTCAGCAGAACAACATGTTTGCTTACAACACAACTGATTGGTTCCTAGTACTGCCCCTCCCTCCCAGATATAGAGCTATTGTATAGGGGACTGCAAGAGGCCAATACCAAATGAAATTCAGGTACTTTGGAGGCTTTCAGTTTGGAGGCTGAGGAACATTTCAGCCAGTGGAATCTCTACTACAAGACCCCTCACAGAAACCTGACTACTGAGAGGGAGGATCTAGGTCTGTACATGATTATCATGAGGAGCGGCTTCATTGAGAGGGAAGGTTCAACTTTTGATTTAGACCATATTAAAAAAGTTATATTGGGGTGACAGCAGGACTTACTAAAGCACACGAAGGAGAAAAGGGGAAATTATTTTGATAAGAACTCATAATAGGATATTAAGTTTCTTCCACTCTCATTATCAGAGTACAGGTGCACTTTGCATTAGGTTGTAAGCTTCTGAGGACACGGCCCTGCTTTTTAAAGGGCAAATGCTCTAAACCACTGCTTGTTTTACCAGAGAATATGCGTCATCAAAACATTTCATTCACAACACAGTAGTAAACCAGTTATCTAAAAACCTGGAGTATAGAGTTGCACTTACCACCTGCTGGCTTGCAAAGGTTAAATATTAAAAATTTACATGCATCATATTTAAAAGACTAGTAAGACTTAAAAAGTCCCAAACATATAATGGAAATATAAGGAAAACATGTTAGAACTTCCTTTAACCTCTTACTGTTGTACCTGTCATCATCTGGGAGCGTTCACCCCACGCAGACAGAGAAGGAATTAAATAACATATCCCCACTTTCAGTCTATTTGACAATTGCCGGATAAAACAGGAAGTGAAGGAAAATCCCTGGCGGCACAGGGAGCAATAAAAAACAATTTCTAGTAAAATGAGGAAGGTTTAGAACCTATTTAATTGCAGTTTGTGTCCCCATTAGGTAGACAGATGTCAGACAAGGCAGAAAGTGAAAAGATGGCTTAACAGAGACACAGACAGCATTTAAAAAATGCCAGAAACGTTTCACAAGTCATAAGATGGCCATGAATCATGTACATTATATAGTCAAAGCTTTCTAGAGACATGACCACTATAAATATAAAAGCCAAAAGGTATATGGACCCCCCTCAAAACTACTGGGTTTAGGTATTACCAGGACGGTTACTCTTATTGCTACCGCATGCAAAAACATTTTAGGGCTGGTGCAGACCTGGGTGATCTGGGACTCAAGTCCCGGGACCGTGCAATCGTGCACAATTGCACACAGCAGTTGCCATGCGGCCCCATTGATTTCAATGAGGTTACATCCGGTTCATGTACCTTTCTTTGTGACAAACGATGCATGGCTGTTTTAGCCGCGATTGTGTTCGGTTGCACGGGCGGAATTGCAGCAGGAAACTGCACGATACGCTCGGCATGACTGGGGTGGGCGACTCAGTGACCGCACGGCAATCCGCATGGTATCGTGCACGATTGCCATACAGTCACAGATCGCCCAGGTGTGAACCTGGCCCTAGACAGCTTTACGCTTCCAACATTGTAGCAACAGATTGGGGAGGGTCCTTGCCTGTTCTAACATTACTGTGCACAAAGGCAGCTCCATAAAGACATGGTTTGACGAGTTTGGTGTGGAGAAACTCTAGTGGCCTGCACAAAGCCCTGACCTTAACCCTACTGAACACCTTTGGGATAAATTAAAATGTTGATTGTAAGCCAGGTCTTCTCATCCAACATCAGTACCTGACCTCACAAATGCTCCGTTGGCTTAATGGGCACAAATCCCCACAGGCACAATCCAACATCTTGCAGAAAGCCTTCCCAGAAGAGAGGGGGCAGTTATAGCCTCAGCCTGTGGTCAACCCCATATTAATGCCCACTGTTTTCAAATAGGTGTCCACAAATGTTGGGCCATATAGTGAACATTTACTTTTTTTGGCCTCTTCTGGCACACTTCACCTTGATGGGAACAGTTAAAATTGCATGAGCACTGGAAACATTACAAAGTTTCTGAAAGAATAGAAGCTGCTGGTCATTTAAACACATTAAGCTGCAAATAGTAAAAAGATTAAAGGTTACCAGGACAATTATAAGAATACAAAGACATAACAATTATAAAAAGACAAGCAGATTGCACAAAAGACAGCAGGAGCAAGAGGGAGAAAGCAAGAGAGAGAATACCTTCATTAACTGAGAAACAGGAATGTAAAGTACGATCAGACCCAGAGGGATCGGAGTCAGTGCGAGCAGGAGAATCAGCAGCAACAGCTTGCAAAAGAAACAAGAGAAAAGAGAGACAGCAGAATATGAGCTACTGTGCCACTCGTGTGAGGTTAGTATACAAGCAGAACACAGGGAGAATGGTTATAAAACAGAACAAAATGAGGACTCAAGCAGATATTAGCAATGCAGTACTGATAGACATAACAAAAAGAGCAAGAGAAGAGGCAGAAGACGCAACAAAAAAAACTGACAAGTCTTTCTCACCACAAAGTATTGTTAGATTGGGTCCTCAACTAGCTTGATGGGTCTTAAGGACAATATGCCTAATGAAAGGTGGCTGGTACCATATCTCCATAAGCCGGCATTACTATCCTCAGTGCAAGCAAGCTACGCAACTCTTTGAGGCCCTATACATGGTAAATATGATGATCACATTAACCTCTGTCTACGAAGCCACCTTCCCACATCAGCATCGCAGGAAAGTTTTCAGTCATAGTCAGGAATCCAGTTTTGTGTACACAGAGACTTATTTTTAGGGAATGCAATGTAGCCAATGTGCTCTGTCCGATACAGACCATCCTGGACATCAACGGAGTCTGAGCCAGAATCAAAACCAGAATGTGAGAGAGCCTAAGGTACTTTTACAACTAAGGGGCTTATTTATAGTAGATATCACATAAGGCTAGGTTCACAAAGGGCGAATCCTGACCGCGCAGCAATCCGCGCAGTTTTGTGCACGATTGCCGCGCGGTCAGGAGTTGCCAAGGTGTCAACTGATCACACTGTGGGTGCCATTATTTTCTAATGGCACCACAATCGTGCCGGGCGGATCGCGCGGTTTCTCATGCAAGTGAACTGGCTTAAAAAAAAAAAAAGCAGTGTGACGCATGTTGCAAAAAAAAAAAAAAGGTACTTGTACCTTTTTTTTTAGCAATTGCCGCACGGATGTCACCCCATGGAACTCAATGGGGCACTAGCACACAATCGTGCGTCCCGGGTGTCATGCGGTGTAGTGAACCTAGTCTTACTCTCTTCACTGCATAACACAGGGTTTGCTACAACCACGGCCTGCATTTTAGAAATCATTAATTACATGCAGGCATTGGTGTGGAGCATTTGGGGTCCCATGGCATTCTCTCTGTGTACTACTCTCTAGGAGGCCATTATATGACCTTCTGCTCCTTCCATTTTTTTTTTTTTCATTTTAGATAAGTGTTGGGTAGGCTTACAATCCCACCAGGTCACTTTTTGCTATACATGTCCAGCAGATAAAAGCTCATGTTTAATGAAATTGGAATGCCTCTCTGGGTTTGTATTACACAGGGAATCCCGTTTACTGCTACATCATTCTGTCAAATTGCCACAATTTCTGTGTATCCGTCACCTATATTTGTGAAGGAAGAATTTAGGAGGAAGTCTCATTTAGGTCTAATTGAAGTCACATACAGTAGATAAGTATGCAGTCAAATAGACTTGGTAATAACAGCCTCCATTTTGCTAGTCTTACACAAGATACCAAATTATAAGAAGGACACGAGAGCTGAGGGGCGTGGCAGGTACTCAGCTCTACCAGCAATAGGCACTGCCGTGTGCGGGCAGGAAGCCGTATTTTACAGTACAACTAGAGGCTCCACATCCAATTCCTATGTGATGCACAAGACCCAAGCAACCCAAAACAAATTTTACCTTCCCTGACTGAGCCAAATCCTTTTTCATTTGTATGTCCATGTTACCCATTGCTCTCCAATCAGCAAAGCATAAGCAGCCTGCTGATTGGAGAGCGCTAGCTCTGACTTAGCAAGGGGTGTGCCTAATTCTCTACAGAGAACACTGCTTTTCCGCAAAGAACAAGGATTCCACTCAACAACTGCTGGCAGGGGACATGTTTTTCTACCCAGGCTGTGGCTACCTTCTAAAGAAAAAAAAATGTAAGGGTCTTTCATGCAATGCTCATATTTTACAGAGTTAACGCACATTGTGATGCATTAAATAGCCCAATTAAAGTAGATAGGCTGAAGCACAACACAGCACATATGAAAATGGGGTGAGCTGTTGAATGATGTCTGCTGCAGCGTTTAAATCCAGAAGTGCTCAGCTCTGTGCATTTCTGGATTTAGGGCTTCTTCACACCATCTGCATTCAGGCTGCACTGGCCATTTTTTCCAGTGCGTTATCATAGATGGTGATGGTTCACAACTGCATTCCCGCAGTGTGCGCTTAACAAACAGTAAGGGATACAGTACCGATTTTTAAGCACACCGCAGTGAGACGCGGTACAAAAGCATTGCAATGCAGTGAGCCCATAGAACTTAACACACAAACTCGCAAACCTGCTGGTTTGAACAAGCCTTCAGAGCTATCAAAATCCCGCCTGTGCTTGATCGGCAGAAACAGAGGGCAGGGGACACTTTATTGGCCTAATAGCCCCTGATGTCCCCATAAAGAGTGCCTGCCTCCGACTAAATGATTGTACATGCTGGTTAATTTTTAAAAAAAGTGTACAAAAAATAGAATTATTAAAACCACTCCTGTCACCCCGCGCATGTAGGGTGCACGTAAATAATGATTGTGTAACACATATTGGATATTACTGCACACACTTCAGAGTGAGAGAAAAAATTCTAGATCCTTCATTTACAGTTAACTCTGAACTCATACAGGCATTAAAAGCATTGATAATATGGGGTGTCATCATTATTTGCCATATCCCCAAGTACATGCAGGTTAAAGGCTTGGCATGTTTGGTAAGCGTTTAGGCGACACAAACTATTTATAACCATTATTAGTTTATTACATATCAAAAATTGAGGAATATATATAGTGCTTGTGCTTATTTTAGTGTATTTGTTTTTTACTGAAAATTAGGGATGTTCAGATAACAAGTACTGTACTCGGTACAAGTACAGATACTATTCCAGCTCCAAGACTAGAGAAATACTCAAAAGTTAGGAGGCAGCTATCATTTGTAAGGAGCACACGGAGCTCCTGGGATTTGTACATCTCTGTTTAATGTATTTTATTTTTTTTTATAAATATATATATTAGGGATGCACCGATACCATTTTTTGAAGTACAAGTACTGATACTTGCCCAAGTACTTACAGATACAAGTACTGATACATTTCTGTTTATTGTCATGTGACAGTATTTCTAAAACAATACAGACTAATGATTTCAGGACAGTGGTGGAGCGACAGAGCCAGGTCCCAGCTGCAACCGCTGCAACCCTGGTAGTTCTCAAGAAAATGCCAAGTATCAGCACTGGTATCTGTGGATCCCTACTGAAAATATTGATTTGATAAACCTATCAGAAATATTGTGGGACATAAATTGCTACTACCTTTTTATTCTACAGAGCCTAGTATGTTAGGTATGATTACCGTGTAAAGACCTACCCCGAAAGTAAGACCTAGTGCTATCTTCAGGGATTTCTGTAATATAAGACCTACCCCGAAAATAAGACCTAGTTCGGTGGTAGGTCTTATATTACAGAGATCTGCTAGGTCTTCCTTTCGGGGTAGCTGCACATAATAGAATTTTACATGTCATGGCCGCAGCTCCCTCCCTCCCGCACGCACGCCCATCCGCACGCACGAGCGGACAGGTGCAGCCAGGTACACATAAGACATCAGACATCCCCCGAAAATAAGACCTAGTTCGGTGGTAGGTCTTATATTACAGAGATCTGCTAGGTCTTCCTTTCGGGGTAGCTGCACATAATAGAATTTTACATGTCATGGCCGCAGCTCCCTCCCTCCCGCACGCACGCCCATCCGCACGCACGAGCGGACAGGTGCAGCCAGGTACACATAAGACATCAGACATCCCCCGAAAATAAGACCTAGTTTTTTTTTTGTGGAAAAAAAAATATAAGACACTGTCTTATTTTCGGGGAAACACGGTAATAGTAACAGTATAAGTAATTTTGCATCCAAAAATTCAGATTTTAATATGTGTGCAAAAAAAAAGAAAAATGCTCTTGTAGCAAAGTGATTAAGGTGCCATTCACAATGAACTGCAGCACAGCAACGCATATAACATGCGTTACCATGCATTGTATAGATGGGTTGTACGACTTTGAGCAGCTTTTGTTTTGATGTGCCTGGAATAGGTTTAGCAGATTTAAATAGAAAATTCAATTGGGTTTCGTTTCCAAGAAAAATGTCTTTCCAATGTCCTCAGTTTAAAATATGATTTTAAAACACACCTTAAATAGATGTGACAATAAGCTGCGTAGCTCCAAAGTTCTAATGATCCTCCCCTTTATAACTATAGATCCTCCCACTTTTTAATTGACACGTTAATAAGAATATGGCAATATAAAAATAAAAAAAGCTAACTATTTTCTCTTCGTATTCCTCTAAGTTCTGGTATTTACTCCATGTGGTGACTTCTCCATGGCAATAGAGAAAATTGTGGTGTAAGCGGCCTGGCAGCTAGCCCTATTAGCATATGAAAGGGGATGAGGCCCTTCTCGCTCCCCCATTGTATAGCTGGAGGTCAATGATAAGATTTAGAGGTCAGGGCTTGACACTTCCTTCCTATAGAGAAATTACCATATGTCATGGACAACCAGCTTCAAATTAATCCTCCTCTCGGAGAACGACAATGAGAGCGCCTTCCTGCGCAAGTTAAACAGTGTTTTGTAAAGAGGGGTGTTTGCTTTTCATGCAGTTAACTCCTTTTGTCGCCCCGGGACATCTGCATGAAAACTATCCGTTTCATAATTCGATGCAAATGTATCATAATGTCAGCGAGGCACGTGTGAGGGGCGAGGTGTCATCCCCTCGTCTAAGGCTTTAGCTGAACAAACAACGGCTTAATTCCGAGGAGGGGCCAGATTTGCATTCAGGCCCTTGACATAATAGCCGAGTGCATTTTGAATATGTATGCCTTTCAAGCTGAATTACTGCAACATGAAGTCAAAAGCTGAAAAGCTACAGCTATTATTATCTCTGGGATGCGTTTAAGTAGAGTCTCCCGGACTTCTCATTGAAAGGAACATGTGCCTGGGCTACTCAAAAAATAGAAAAATCAAATTTGAA